TCAAATTTTATTTGTGGAAAACGGTAATATTCAAATGCAGCAAGTATATGGGCTAGCATCAGAAATGGACGATTAGATATGTCATCATGATCTATGTTGGATAGAAAACAATTTTTGGAGTCATCTAATACACTTATTGTAAATACTGTAAATAAATGTTCAGTTATGTGAATAATAAAATTATACCATCAAACAAAAATTGTATTTATTGTGATGTGTGTTGTGCATATATAACTTGAAATAGAATATGCTAATTTTATGCAAATGAGCCCGTACAGAGAACACTGATTTTGATGTACTGCTTGACTGATGCTTATACTTTTCAAGCTACACATTGGGACTTTGTATCGATGCTGAAGAATATGCAATTTGCAAGTCGACATGAATTCATTTTTTACCCCATTAAATTTAATAATCCACTTGACAATAATAATAATAACTTTATTACGCAACTTAACCATCTGTGGGTTTAGTAAGGTAAAAAAAATTATTACAAAAGACAAATAAAATAAGACACACTAACACTAACAATGCTGCAGGACAATGTTTCGAACATTACTGACAAATTTGTTTTTATATCCTCACCCCAGGATCGTCGCCGTCATCATATCCTTGGTCCATTCGGGAAATAAACTCCCTGATCTATATACAAACAGCGGCGATCATCCTGGTACCTTTCATCAAGGCTTAGCTGCGACTCCTTTCTTTTATTACCTCCATGGTCCAACCAATACATATACTTTGGTGGTGGGTGCCACAATACAGTGTTTAATAGTGACCTTCACGAAATTTTATGTCCACAAATGCCACAACAATCATTAAATCACGAAGTTCCAGCAGGAAAAATTATGTAGTTTACATACAAGAACTACATGATCATAACTCGCTTCCAAGCATGTGAATTGACACATTGGCTATTTACAACTTTTGTATGAATAGACATTACGATCACATGATAGCAATATACTGTAAAATGGTTAATTATTCACTGGGTTTTAATTTGGCTTATTTCGCTGACTGGAAAATGCGCTAAATTAAAACCCAGTGAATATGTAAAATTTAGCATAAAACACATTATCTAAATGATAAAACCGTGAATTTAAAACCCACTGAATATGCCCGAAATGGTAAATCAGTGAAATTTAAACCCAGTGAAAATTAGTCATTTTACAGTATTCCAGTTTGCCCATCTGTTCGTAACAGCGATGTTTACTAATATTTCTCATTTTAAGCAGATCAACCTTAGCACGCCAAACTAGATTACCGTTGAGCTAACTAACCACTCTTTAGTACCCCCAGTACGTAGGAGTGGAGATCAACCTGGATTACCCCAAAATTTGGCGCAATATGCGTACATCATGAACGAGTATCTACATTGTTGCCAACATTTGGAGATTAATTGTACGTCTCGTCAAAGAGCAATGTAATATGAATACAACCTACAACTTACAAGCACCGTGAATTAAATACATAAGTTATCGCTTACCTTCCTCGAGATTATCGCTACATTCGAACGTAATTTCAAACTGGAATGGATTGAAAAATGGAGACGGGTTGTCGAGTACCACAACGTTGTTTATTTGTACTTTTGCCATACTTCGAGAATTTTTTTTTATAAAATTAACAAATTAAATATGGTGACAGTGGTTACTAGAACCCGACACTTCAAAAAGTTACAATTTTTGCTGACGTGAACACATTTAGTACAATAAAGAGCACGGAACCAAAATCCCTTTCACAACAAAAACGAAGTTGGCAAAATGTGGCGGGGAATTCAGTAACGAATGTATTATCGTTTCTCATTGGATAACTGTGTATTCTATTGTGTTGCTATCTGTGATTGGTTATATCCAATGCAGCCTCGACAACAGTTATATTTTACGTAAGACTGTGAGTTGAGTTAATTTGTTAGAATTGAGGCTTTTCAAATTAAATAGAAAATAAATAAATTGTTTTCTATTAATTTCCAACAATTTTGAGGTGAGCAATTGGACAGCAGAGTCGTTGTAATTTCTCGCTATCCGCATACACGAATGAGGCTTATTTCCGTTTCCGCTTTTCCATGCTCAACCTGAAAAATGGCGACTTCTAGTTATAAACTTAGTTGCACTCTCATTGGACATGAAGGGGATGTTAGAGCCGTGACAACTGCTTATTCACCAGAAGGAGCAATTATTTCTGGTTCTCGTGATAAAACAGCACGTATCTGGGTTCCTATCAGGTTTGTATCCATCCATATTTTGCAATTTCTATACTTTTTTTCCGTGCCGAGATTCACTTGTTTAGCCATATTGATGGATTTATGCCGGGGGGTGTCCTTATTTGAACTCCACTCCAGGTTCCGTAATATTTTTTTGGTGTTAGCTACAAAATTATTTTCCAGAGATGCTTTATGATCTACATACATGTACATGTATATCTGACGATACTTCATAAATCACTTGAGCTATTTTGTATTTGTTTTGTGAAAATCAATACCACAAATCCGTCGTACAACTATTTTCATTAAATTTATGTTAAGGATCTATTATACAATGTACATGAACGTACAGTACTAGCACAAGATGATTGACTGAGTTACGACTACGAGAATTAAAAAAGCTACTTGAAAAGGTGTTTTATTCTGTTAATTTTTTTTTAAAACCTATATCTCACTAATAAACATACAGTCAAAATAACATAAAAGCAGTGTTTCCTGTGGTACACTGCAAGAGTGAATAAGATTTTTAATATTCTCTGTGCATCACAGGGGCCAATACGTTTGCACAGTTATTATCCTGTGGCAAACACCAAACAAATCAGTTGGGTGGAAGTTTGTTTATGATCGCCAAATTTCTCTCTGTTTTTTCTAAGGTGTTAATCGGCTTAATTGTATATGCTATGTGTGCCACGCTCGGTAGTATTGACATAGACACTGTCAAAGTTTACCGAACATCGGATATTCTGCACACTTAGCGCTTCCTCGGAAATGGCGTATTTCTTTGTAAAATGGATTCAGACATTATAAAACAACAGGAGATGCGTTCTGGACATTTTGATCTTTGCAGCTGTGTATGAATTTTAAAAATCAACCAACATTTAGGCAAGTTACAAGTAACTGAATGTCTTAGTATATACCTCAAATAGAGCAACTTTGAAACAATATTTCTCGCTGTTGCACGTTTTGTGGAAGGTTTCCAAAATTTTTTCAGGAAGGGCATGTCACTGTGTTTTTTTGAGCGATCATACCACTTTGTGTGTTAACAGTATTGTTTTTGTGTTCAAGGGTGCCAAAACATGGGATAGCTCGTGTCATATACATGATGTATCAGCGTAAGCCTGATATCGGTAAAAACTGAGGGTGTGTTATTTTTGTTGAGTTTGACTTCATAGTACGTGTTATACACGTTGTTCGTAACTATCGTCCTCAGATTCTCTAAATTCTTCTGTAAATGTCTGCGGATGTGTCTTTTATACAAATGTAGGAAGTTTCCGCCACAGAGGTTTTGTACCTTACAAGCATGGTGTATTTAGATTCATTTTTTATAACTCAGCATGTTTATACTCTTATTAATATATAACTTGTATTTAACAGTGTATTTATTTTTATTTGTTAGTAACGTATATCCCTCTTCTTACCGACGCCATAAAATATCATGTGAAAAATGGACACCTATTTTCCCAGCATACATTTCACACTAACTAGCCAAGACTTTTTGTGTAATTTCAACCAATTTCAATTGTCAAGTAATGCCTTTTAAGTAATCAAATTGACATTAAACTTGGTTTTTCATTTAGAATAGAATATTGTCGTCTCATTTCATGAAATTCAGACACATAAATTAAATTGTACGATTAGAGGAGGGTTACAAAAATATGCTAATTACGATAAACATGACAGCTGTGAATTTTGTTAATAAATCATGAAACCAGAGATAAAAGTGAACTTGCCTAAAAGAGTAAGTCATGGTTTATCAAGTAACTATGCTACTTGAGAATTTGAATTTGGGGGGTCCAAAAAAATGTTACCCCCCAAAATATGGTTTTGTATGGCATTATATGGCTACAGTAATAATTAAAGATATGGTACTTTATGGTTTCAGAACGAATAAGTACTCAGCCAGATAATATGGGTTTTTATGGCTTGGGAAAGGAAATCGTTGGTCCATAAAATACCATGTTATGGTAAAATATGGTTTGGGGAATACACGTTTATTTTATCATAACCTCAGGACCACAAAATATGGTACTTTATGGTTTCAGAAGGAATAAGTATTCTGCCAGACAATATGGGTTTTTATGGCTTGGACCATAAAATACCATGTTATGGTAAAATATGGCTTCAGGTTTTTATTTGAGAAAATATAATTACCTAAATGCGACGATCAAATTCTGTTAAACTCTGAATAATTTTGAAACTCAAAATGTTGTCAACAGATTTAGCATTTACATGTACTGCCTGTGTAGTAACCTTTTTATGGGCTAAAATAGCTGTCATTTTGAAAATGTTAATGATCTTCATTTGTTTATAGACTAGCAGCACTAGAAGAATTTGTTTATCAAAAGAAATGAACATTTCTACAGTTTGACCACTGATATATTTTGGCTAAAGAAAAACTAAGTATAAATATGATAAACAAAAACGTCTGGACAGATAGAAGCAAAATATGTCATTAGTCTAAACAGATTTGCACCTGTGTATCAAATTTTAATGAAATCTTGATGGTATAGTAACACATGGTTTAGTGAACTCTGACACCATATATTACCATGAAATTTTAAATCTGAAGCCATAATATACCATTTCACAATCAAGTATCATATAAAATGCCATAAATTACCATATTCAATCCAAGTGTAACAAATTTTACCATAAAAAAACCATAATGTCCATAATAGCTGATACCATAATAAACCATAAATCCATACCAACAGCCATGTGTGATTTTTTAGTGATGACTAGAAAAATACCTTTCGTGTATTTCATAAAAGTAGTATATTACATAAAGGACATCATAATAGATATAATGCATACAAGAAGTTGTAAGAATATTCCATAATCTAAAGTTCGGGAGATGTAAAACCAAAAGAGACAATGTGCAAAAATGGCCATGGTATTTTAAGGTATCAGGCAAAAATGCCCTCTATTTTCACAAGGTTTTTTATGGTGTCGGTAGGATAACACAAAATATATATTGGCTAAAAGAAGGATATATGTAAATAAATAATTTGTAAATTTGTAAATTATTTGATTTTCATTTTTATTCTGCATGAAAAAGTTAGAGTGTAAATGCAACCCAACCCAACTATATGAATTTAATAAAATTATTCTTCCTTGCGCTTTACTGGGAGTTGTCACTTGATGCAGTTTTGAAGTTTTATTTAACCAAACAACATGTAGCAATTGGCATACAGGGCCTTGCGAGGTTGAACACAATTTTAGTAGAATCAAGTTACTGTTATGTCATGAAATTCTGACCTACCATACGAGTGTACATGTACAGTGAAGCATTTAGTCATTGCACTCTATGATTGTTGATTTGCTGGTTGTATTCAAATAATATTAAAATTAATAAATATTTGTAAAGATGAAGAGAACAGGTTTGTTGTGTTGATAGTAGATTGTCAACAATATACCTAAAATGATTAATTGTGAACATATTTGATACAGTATGTTTTGAAAATATAAGTCACAGAAACTACTAGAAAAAATGTGAGAATGATTTTGAACTTCTTGCTTAAATTAGTACAAAACACAAGTGGCTGCTGAGTGATGTTAAAAATATACTGGGAATGAACAGATAATGAAATCGTACTGAAAATCCAAGTATTTTTTTATTTTTGTTTCAGTGATGGAAGAGGCTTTATGCAAGCGTACTGTTTAACTGGACATAAAAACTTTATTTCCTGTGTTTGTATCATGCCTCCAAGTGAAGCTTATTCACAAGGCCTTATTATGACTGGCAGTAATGATAATACAATCAATGCATATCTACCAACTTCTACAACTCCCTTATACACTTTGAGTGGTCATACTAATACTGGTAAGATTTCTAACTCACAAGAGACATCAGTTATGATATCATTGTTTCATTGCAGATATTTCTTTTAATTTTAGTTATTTTTTTTTCCCATTGATAATTTGCGTAGAATATATAATGTATAATATATAATTATTGGCTCATTTGCATAAAATAAATTATAAATTTTTTCCCAAAATATGTAGGTAAGGTAGTGTCGCTGAAGCCATAGAATTTAATGTGTATAATCAGCCATACATTGAATGCGTTTCATAGGTTGTATACATGTTGTCAGTTTGTGCATTAGCTGCTGGTAAGTTTGGTACTTTACTGAGTGGTTCCTGGGATTGTACAGCTAAAGTCTGGTTACAAGAGAAGAATGTGATGACACTCAAAGGACATTCACTAGCAGTCTGGGCGGTAGCTGTTTTACCATCTCAAGGTCTCATGTTGTCTGCGTCTGCTGATAAAACTATTAAATTATGGAGAACTGGAAAATGTGAGCAAACATTCACAGGTGAGTTAAAGCTACTTAATTAATTTATTGTTTACAAATTACAATCTATTGAAATACAAACAAATATTCTAATTTGCCAGGGATTGAAATAGAATTTTTTCCCAGCATGCACAGTGTGCATGTTGAATTTGAAATTTACCTGCACTAACTTGTTGTGAAATGCACCAATTTTAAAGTTATAATATAATTTACGGGTTCTCGATCAATGTGAACACGAAAGAATTTGCTTTTTTTTTTTAGTTACCTTACAATATTTGTTGAACTTAATTTAGGCTTAGTGAATATAATGAGAAAATGTTGTGTTAATTTCTACATGCACAGCGTGCACATTATATTTTGAGTTTACTTGCACTAGCTAATAATCTATGTGCATAGTGCAGTGTGCACCAGAGTATTTCAACCCCTGTTTGCATTCATGGAAATTAATATCAATATTTCATGCACTGCTTTGTTCAAAGCCTTTGGTGATATATATACATTATGAATTATAATGTAGAAAATTAATAAGGTGATTTGTCCATGGAACCAAAACAGACGATTTGTCAAAGAAAAACCCATTACATTTTTTCTGTTACATGTACAAATCATTTCAGCCAGATGTGCATGGGAGAAAACAGGATGTAATAAAATTTATCTATCGGTAATTATTGACCAATATCTTACTAATAATTTTAATAACTATGCTGTTGCGTAAAATTTAAAATTTGCAATCAAGGTTTGAATCATACCTGGATTCAACACCAAAAATCAAGGGGAATGGGTTTGTGGTCGTAATAGTAAGTTATTTAAAACAAATTGTAACAAAAAAAATAAGTATATGCATACTTATTAATATATATGCACACCTAGGATTTGATTAATGTCATCGATTTCATCAAAACTTTAATACGTTTTATGGTTATCTGATTAAAAAATGGCTGATGACCATTTTATTTGATTTTGATGTCTTTACCCAATTTTACTCAATTTTCAGGCACTGTTTTTGTTAAAATTCATTACAAAGATGGGACATAATGTTAGCAATATACACATTCATATATTTTTTCATCCGATTTGGTTTGTTTGCAACCCAGTATGTAACTACTATACGTCTTGATTTCCAGTTACAAGTAAGTTGTAAATAAAGTTTTGCACTGGATTGTGGATAAATGTTATTATCTTGCTGTGATGTATTAATGATTTGATGTTCTTTTATTATTAGGACATACTGACTGTGTACGAGCATTAGCTGTCCTATCAGATGTTGAGTTTTTATCAGCAAGTAACGATGCCAGTATTCGTAGATGGTTAACATCAGGACAGTGTCTACAGGAGTATTATGGCCATACAAACTATGTTTACAGTCTGTCTGTACTACCCAACGGAACAGACTTTGCTACTGTTGGTGAAGATAGAACATTGCGTATATGGAAGGCTGGTGACTGTGCACAAACTGTACATCTACCAGCACAGTCTGTCTGGTCTGTTACTACATTAAATAATGGCGATATTGCTGTAGGTGCAAGGTTTGTATTTCATCTGTTATATAATAGAGGATCTCTCCTAATACTGCGAACAAATGTTGTAATTGCCTTTTTCTTGGCAAATCAGTTGCTGTCAAACCTGAGTACATGTATAGTAACTACCCAAGGAACTTCATTAACATAGTCTTTATAGACAGGTGGTCTTTATATGGAGGTTTGGTTATTATTTGTCCAGAAAATAATGACTATGACTATGACAACAAAAAACATTTATTTTGATTCAGAAAATTAAAAATTGTTTAGTAAAGGGAATGTAATTATTGTTTGGTCTCTACTCTCAAAGTCAAATTATTGAAAGGTTGGTCATATAATTGAGGTTGTTTTTCTACACAGATTGGTCATACATAAAAGTGGTCACTACAGGCAGGTAGTCACTAACACAGGTTTGACTGTATTACCCAAAGCCTTTACTTGTAAACAGACTTTTTATACTATATGGCATAGCCTTGACAGCCAGTCAGATTTGAACATTACTAGTAGACATATTCAACTGTGACCTTTGTCATGGATTAACCCCTAAAACTTATCAATGACAGGTTATACCACAGGGAGCCCAGGAACTATAATCAACTGTAGTACGCAGTCTCTATGAGGGGGGGGGGGGGGTCATAGGTCATAGGTACAGTTGAACATAGTTCCTGGGCTTCCTGTGGTTATACAGCAATATTTATAAAATTACTAAGTTTGCTGTTACATGCTTTTACTGTATGACCCTTAATGAGTTTGCTTGGCTTTTAGCCCAGCTTGCTGCAAGTTTTTCCTTTTTGCACCATTGTGCATATTTAGATGTTCAATTTGTGCTTGTGTAATTTGTCTCTTAAAATGTCATTGATTTTGGTACATGTGGTATATATGTATAGTATATATACCAATATGTATATATATATATCGTGTAGTGTGTTTTGTTGGAAGTGAATTATGTTATAAAATATGCCTAAACTGAAGCAGTATGTGAGCTCAGTGTGAACTTGGACATTGTTTTGGATGGTGTATGACATGGTATGGTGAGTGGTGCTGTGTTACATTTAAAGTGAACCAGCTGAAATAAGTTGATAATATGATGGAGGCTAAATAACCCTCTTTTATAAAATTCAATAAAACCTGTGTTGCTTATGAAATTTTTCAACTTATAGATTTGTTCAGTTGGTACACTTAGCTCTAATGAGAATACCCTTGGAGAGGGAGCTAGACATGACTAAGCACTGCATTTTGGCTTTGGATTTACCTGGTATTCGGTATCAGTGAATCAGATCACATGCACGTTTCTCAATAATAGCATTTTATTTCTAAATGACAGACATTTTGATATACTAAGATGATTCCTAAACACCTGTATGTCGTTATAAATAATTTCACTCCAATAGTGGTGCACAAAATATTTTAGAACTCGTCAAAACTCAACTTCATCTTTGCCTTGTTTGAGTTATTTTGGTGTCTAAACTTGTTGGGTTGAACATGCTGTAATCTGGAGTGATCTTGATGTATCCAAATGCTATGATTCAGTACTGATTCATTGATTGTATTGGGAAGGTATATTGGTGTTATCGGTACTCTAAATTGGGTCTGTTGTTTCGAGTCTGGAAAGGGATCTACCCTGTATATTCACCATCTACAGCTGAAAATAATTCTTGGAAATCAACAAAAGTAAAGTTCAGGCAAGGCATAAAAACAAGGTAGAATTTGTTACATTGAAAAACAGTCATCAAACAAGCTGCTCTCTGATTGGTCTAACTGTTCTTGTAAGTAATTGAGTTCAGAAGTGTTCTGCAAGCATAAACAAATAAATAAATACAACGACAAAATAAATGAAGTCTGTAAGGGGGTTTATTCTTTTTAATACTTCTAGTGGGTTCTAGTGCCACCCTTGTATTACCGGTATATTGCCTCAGTAGTACCCCTGGAATGGTAGTATACTGTGGTCATGTATACCAATATTATATTCATATTCATTATTTTTTTTGTACAGTGATAATATGGTTAGAGTATTCACATGTAATCCAGATAGAACTGCTAGTGCTGAAGAAATTGACATGTTTGAAAAGCAAGTATCTTCGGCATCATTGAATCCAGAATCTGATGATTTAGGGAAGATTAAAATTGATGAACTTCCTGGACCCGAAAGCTTACACAAACCAGGTTAGTTGAGATTCCTATCAATATTATTAGAGCCTGGACCTGAAAGCTTACACAAACCAGGTTAGTTGAGATTTCTGTCAATATTAGTCCCTGGACCTGAAAGCTTACACAAACCAGGTTAGTTGTGATTTCTGTCAATGTTATTGGTCCCTGGACCTGAAAGCTTACACAAACCAGGTTAGTTGAGATTTCTATCAATATTAGTCCCTGGACCTGAAAGCTTACACAAACCAGGTTAGTTGAGATTCCTGTCAATGTTATTAATCCCTGTGTTCAAGATGAATCTGAAAGACTGTTAACTGAGTTAATGAGTATAATATTATTGGAAGCTGTTTGGCAAATTTCAACCAAATTTGGCATGCTGGTAATCAATTAGTTTAGCTGGCTCTGAAATTTGTTAATTAATTAATTCTTTAAATCACATAAATGTATTATTCTTGTGTGTATAGTGTATGCATACTATGAGAGTTGAATGTTTTATAATAGATCACAATTATTCTGTGCATAATAATTAGCTAATTAGCATACACATTAACTATTTTAACCATATTTTTTAATGTATCTTAACCATTGTTTGTGCAGTTAAATAAATCAGTCACTCATTGGAACACCTTGAACTACTTAGGACATTGTTTGATTTGAAGCAAAAGTTGTTGATTCACATGACAGTTTCGCTATCATAATCAACACTGATACCAAAAAAAATAACAATATTCATTGACGAGTTTGATGGTGAAGTTAACACATCGTCAAACATGGTCATAGATATACTCAATTGTTAGAAGCTACTGCAGAACCATATGCAGGATTTTATTATCACTGGGCTCGTATTTTGTGGCCCAAACAAGCTGTACAGGTCTAAAATATATAAAATCTATGTACCTACAACTTTAAAAGCATGTTTTTAAAATTATCCAGGTGAAGAAAGGAAGAAAAGGGGTGTCTCTCATGTCATTCTGTCAGGAGTCATGTGTGTGAGGATATAAAGTGAATACATTTTCTTATTGGTTTTATACAGGTAAAAAAGATGGTCAAACAACTATGGTAAGAGTTGGTGAGAATAAAGTAGAGGCATATTCATGGAGTGCTGCTGATATGAAATGGAATAAGATAGGTGATGTTGTTGGTTCAGCTGATTCATCACAACGCCAGTCTGGTAAAGCCACCTATGAAGGAAAGGTACGTAACAAACATAATACATAATTACTCGATGTGTTTATATGGTATCACAGTTTGATCTTGAACGTCTACTTTAAAATTTGACTATATCGAAATGTTTCAAAATGTCCTCAGATATGCTGGACCAGCGCTCATTTTGTTTTTTCATGATGTCCATATTTTGTTTTCTGGTATGCAATGAACAGTTATGTTAAAAGTTTATAGAGACAGTGCATTATGAGATACATGTGAATATAATTTAGCTTTGTACTCTAATCCAGGGATATTTTTAAACAAGGGAACACGGGCGGAGCGCTCTCATGCCATGGCCATGCGTCCCCTTACCCTGGGGAGCAGATCCTCTGGCAACCATAAAATTCTGAATGACCAGGGATCACATGTGGCCACAGTCTTCAACTGTGACCTGTCTGATAGTAATTTTGGCCCCAAGGAAGCCATAGAATGCTCCATTTTAACTTAGAATTATCAAAAACTCTACACCCTGGTAGGAAGAACCCTATCTCCCCCACTTGGCAGTGTCGCTGAATTCAGTGCTCCCTCTTGCAGTTTTTTTCTAGAAAAACCCCTGATAATCTATTATATATTCTACAATAAACTCTCGTTTTTACCCTTCAGTACAGTTCAGTTTAATGTGATTGTCTTCTTGTTTTTCAGGAATATGATTATGTTTTTAGTGTAGACATAGAGGAAGGCAAACCTCCATTACAATTGCCTTATAATATTTCAGAAGACCCATGGTTTGCTGCTCAAAGGTTTCTAAATAAACATGAATTAAGTCCACTATTCCTAGACCAAGTCGCTAACTTCATAGTTGAAAACAGTAAAGGTGTAACACTTGGTGGTGGGACTCCAGTAACAGTTAGTGATCCATTTACAGGTGAGAATCTTAAGACTGTTAACGTTTTTACCACCAGACATTCTCGTCCAATTTTTTTTTATTTGCATCTTGTTCTTACAATTCTCAACAATTTTCAGTTTTTACTCAAATTATTTGGCTATTTTTGTCCCAATATTTTGAAAGAAAGTGCAGACTATAAACAGAACTAGTTTGTGAATTTGTGATGAAAAGAGGGAACTGGTGGTGAAAAGGATAAAGCATAAACCAAAAAATTTTTGGAGAGAAAGGTTCTTGTTAAAACATAACAATAAACCATGATCGTACTGATGTTAATACAAATTACGTCACATGAACTACAAGGGGACAAAATTAATTCTGTTCATGTATTTTATCAGACTCAAAAATGCAAACAGTTACAAAAAATGTTTTTATGTCAACAGGAAGTTAACAATTTTATCTGCTACATGTATACTGTAAAGTGTTGTAATGCTCTTTTCTTGTAACAATGGTTGAATTTCCATTCACTGGGAGATCTTGCATGGAAGATGCGATATGAAGGTCTGCCGCAAAAAAAAACAAATTTGATTTTGAACTTGAATTTCACGCTTTACATCTCAATGTCAAAATTCAGAGAGAACTATGGCATTGAGATATTTTGTGAGTGAACAGAAAATAATCTCTTCAGTTTATAATATTACATGCATAATCAAAAAACAGTTTAACTAGTAGTACAGCGAATTTGTATACATTTGATATAAAAATCTTTGTGTTTTGATACATTGTTGTATGGACTACAATGTACTGTAAAACGTGTCTTTTTAGCTAGCATGTTATTTTAGCTAATTTAGCTGATCTGTAATTTTGCTAATTCAAGATGTCACTAATTTAAAATAAATATAATCTCACAATGAGACTGTTGGCACTTTTGGTAAATTAAGATTTAGTTAATTCATGTTATATTCGCTAAACTGGCGTGTAGCTACAATGTATGTTTTGCAGTATATATCGGTAGATTGACAATGTCCTGGGGTTGACTTCTACCGATAAAGTGTCTTGGCTGCGTATCCCCCCACTGCAGTAATTACAGCTGTGCATTATACATTAAGTGTTATACATGTTATATGGCAATACTCGTACATTCATATCAATAGGTGGTTCTCGTTATATTCCTGCTGGTAGTAATAGTACACAACCATCATCAGGTCCAACACCAATGCAGGATCCATTCACAGGTATGTAGTGTCTTGTTAATATCACAACGCTGTCTGAAATGTTGAATGTTCAATCGCTACAAATAAAGGTTCCTTCTTGACACTGTATTTTATCTTTGGGTGTGAATAACCAGTACTTGCCAACCGCTCACTGTGTATGTGCACGCACACAAAATGTAAATAAGTGCAAATCCACCATTAGTTGCAAGCTAAAGACGAAATTACACAACCAACTTTAGTCAGCTAGCCAGCAGAGCATTGGCCTATTATAATCAGTCATGTAGGTGCAACCATCACATTACACATGTAGGTTGGCCCACATTTGTTTGCAGGAATGCAACACGTTTGATTTTTTTTCGCGTTCAGTAGGCCGACTTTTTAAAAATGTTGGCTGACTGCAGTCAATTGTGTAATATCATCTTGACTCTGTCAAACACAATTTAGTAACTAAAGAACCCCAAACTTGCTAATGATAAACCATATATTATCTCTGTTACTGAGTAGAGTAACAAATGCATTAATTGGCTATATTTTAACCATGATGCAGGTGGTTCTCGGTATGTTCCTGGTAGCGGCCAACAACCAATGCCATCTTCTCTAAGTGATATACCAATGCATGACCCATTGACAGGTAAGCATCATTCACAGGCATTTAATAATGTGTAATACAAGTCATTTGATCTATCAACTCCTAACAACAAAACTAAAAAAAGTCTTGACGAAAAGCCAAAGCTACGAGTCTGACTGTACTGTACTGTACTTCTTAGCTTCACAATTGACTTCTTGAAAACCACTAGCATCTTGGGTGGACCTCCATCAGATTTATTTACTTTGTGGGGATATTTATATTTGCTATTATCAGTGAATATTTTTAGTTAATGATTTTGTACACAGCTTGGGTATTCAAATTCTAAGAACACCAAAATTATCATACAAGGTATCTATAGTGAAATACTTGTTTCCAGTGTACCAGGTAATACCAGCAATAGTTCCACATACAGTCTGATGTTTGGTATACATATTGTTAATTCTAGGTGGCAGTCGATATATACCAACTTATGGTCAGCCAACAGTTCAATTCCAATCTAAAGGCAAACCACTGATTAGTAATGCGTACTTTCCTAAAACCAGTTACCTTACATTTGACTCGATTAACGGTAAAGCTGTTATAGGTAAGAAATGTGTCTTTAAAATTAAAATTAAATTTTAAATAAAATTAAATAAAATTGCTCAGATCAAGTAATCATCGGATATTTTACACATAATGCCTGAGTTAGCAACATTTAAGGCTTGCAGCACTAAAGTTTAAAACATATTTCAGATAAATTGAAGGAACTGAACACTGGTTTATGTGAAAGTGACAGATTAGATGACAACCAAATACAAGATGTGAGTCAGCTACTGGATGTGACACAAACACCATCCATGAAACAAATTGAAATATTGTGGAAATTATTACAGTGGCCAGCAGGTATGTTGTAATAGATTACACTCATGTTTTACTTTAATAGATACCTTGGAATAATGCGTAACCATGCATATTAAGTAGCTAATTTGCATATTAATTATCTCATTTCAGTCCATGTAAACAGATTTTGATCAAATTTGCTATACAATATTTTATTATCACCGTTTGACATTCCTTTTTTAGCATATACATGATAATAATGATTTGGTTGGAAAACTGCGGTAAATTTCAGCAGAAAATGTCAAATGAATGGATGGTGAAATAATACAGTTACCATGAATTTCAAAATGAATTAACATACTTACTCTGAAGGGTTAGGGACTGATTTTACTATATATTGGTGCTGAACACTGGCTGCCTGATGATCTTAACTTGACATTGACATTGCTCTTTAACTGATTTTTTTTTCCCACAGAACAATGATGATTGCACATATTCTGTATTCAGATATGAGCTTTGCTGAGTTAAACTTTGATTTTTGGTCTAATGGGAAAATGGTTGACATTATCCAGTTGTGATGGGCTTTTTTAGTTACAATTGTTTATTCCATTTCAGATACAGTGTTTCCTGCTTTGGATATACTTCGCATTTCAATCCAACATCAAGTTGTTAATCAACATTTTTGCAATGAAAAAGATGGTCAGCAATTCCTAGGACATCTTCATAGTATACTATCACATGACACTAAACCAGCCAATCAAATGCTGGTACTCAGAACTCTCTGTAATGCTTTCAGTCAGGCTCAGGGCAACCAATGTTTGCTAAGCAACAGGGATGGTATATTGACATCATTTCTGGAGTACAAAGATAGTAACAATCGTAATGTTAGGATTTCACTTTCTAGTTTAATTCTGAATTACTGCGTAGCATTGGCGTCTAGTTCTGATGTAGAGGGTAAAGCGCAGTGTTTATCTGTATTGGCTGCTTTATTTCAATGTGAAAGTGAATCAGAGGCACAATTCAGATATCTTGTAGGGTTAGGGACTTTAATCGCTAACAATGAGGAAGCAATAGCTATATCCAGGTCATTAGATTTACTACCGGTTGTTACCAAGGCAACAACTTTGGCAGCACCAGCTAAGGTTTCAGACTGTGCAAAACTTGTGGAAAATATATTAAAGTAGAAGTTCTTTTAAATAGTTTGTAATATTTTAAAACATTTTGTGTCTCCTTGGCTTTCATGCAATCTGACTTGTAGTTTTCTCACTCGCAACATGTATTAGTCAGGTAATGTACCATTAGAAAACTGTGAAAACATTTTCTGAGCTGTGTGAGATTGCTGATTGTCTTTTATAACACAGGTTGACTGTACTTTGTAGATAGGACATGCCCATACTGTCAAATTGCTATGTATGTATAACAGTGGCTATTACATGCACGGTAGTTGAGAAAATTCACCTATTCTGAAGTAACCCTTCCTGATACCAAGTGACCTCACACGTTACTGTACTTTGCCCATTAGATTATACCTAAATAAAAAAAGGAGCATTTGTTGAATGCTGGATCTTTCAAATACGACTCTTTTTGACCATGTCGTGTAAATAAGGGCCACAAAAAGAAGCAAATATAGTACCAGATTGTATCCTATGTGCCAAGAATGTTGTAGCACATGTTAAACTACTAATTTCTGGCATCAGGAAATCCTCATTATTTGCTAAAATGGGCTTACTATAAAAATGTGATGAGTGAACTTCATTAAGCCACATGGTTGACCCTTAAAGGTCATACATCCTGGTACTATCTGACCCCTAAAGGTCATACATCCTGGTACTATCTGACCTCTAAAGGTCATACATCCTGGTACTTTCTGACCCCTAAATGTCATACATCATGGTACTTGCTGACCCCTAAAGGTCGTACATCCTGGTACTATCTGGGGGAATTGTATGATTTTTTAATTTTTTTGAAAATAAATCGTGAAATGCCCTTAGTCTCCCAGGTTTGTGATATTTAAGGCCTACTAGTATTGTTATTCCAAGTTGTACAAACATTATCATTGCACACCATGTACATACAGTATGAATTTTTATAAAGAATGATGCATTATGTCCTTATGGGATATTAGTTCTAAATGCCAGTAATGCACTTTTGGTATTGAAAACTGATTCAAGATTTGTTCTGAAATATTTGCTGTATATTTTGCAAAAATAAAAAAAAAAACTCTTTAATTCACCTTCGTTATCTGTGATGCTCTTCTTGATATTTTTTTAGTTCCTGTTAAGATGATGTTCAAAAACAGGAACTATTAATTTGGGTTCTGTGTGTTCGTCCATGTGTACAGAGCCATTTCCCAGACATGCTTTGACTGATCTCATTTAAACTTCACTTAAAGACAATGTACGATGGGAATATGCATGCTGATTATCTTTGCCATTGGGTTAAATATGGCTGACTGAGAGCCATTTTAGTCATTTCTCATGGTTAAATGTTTTCGTCATATTTATTTTGTGATTCTAACAAAAAATGGCTGATTGGTTGCCATTTTGTTTTTTACTTGTGTCTATGCCAATTCATCACTAATATATCGCCTTATTCATTTGAAAGTTTGCACAAAGGTACTGTAGGTTGTGTTACCAGTATTTTGTCATTTGATCAAATTTGTATAAAGCGTGTTCTGAACCATTTCTCTGAGATCATGGATATTGGGTTACAGGTGCCTGATTGGTGGCGATTCATTTCTATGCCAATGCCTACTGAACAGGGTCTTAGTCGTTGACAATAATCTGTTCAAAAACGAGGGGGAAATGTTTTGTAATTTCACAGACATGACTACCATTTTAAAAGGGCATCAACATCACCCATGATGGTGACCATTTCTTTTCCTTTAGAGTGCCATTGCAAGTTTCACTTTAAATTTATTGGGGTTTTGATAAAAAGTTAAATTCAGATAAATTCAAACTTAATATTAATGTCACACATAGTGGGTTACTGATGCACATTCAGGCATATCTGGGCTGATATCATTCAAGTTGGTATTACCATCTATAAAAAGTTACTGATGCAGTTTCAAAATTTGATTCAAAAAGATCATCAAAACGGCCTTTAAATCAGATATTCTTTGACCAATTGTCATTCCCAGTTTCAGACGTATCTGTCCCAACCTGTATCTCAGACATGCTTGGACTGATGTTCAAACTTAATATATATGCATGTAGATTTGACGTAGAGATTCAAGATGGCCGAATGGCAACCATTTTATTGTTAACAATTCGAAAAATTGCATTTTTGTCATTTCATAAGCACATCTTGGTTGTGTATGGGTGGGATGGCAAATGATTGGACATTATGTGACCTTGATGCACATCATTTTGTTTTTTTGATCTAATGATATCTTCTGTTCTTTAATTGAAATGTGCATTGCTAACAGCGGAGCTATCTCAGCCAACAGGCTGCTTGTTATTTGTACGTTTCTTTTCTGGATACACAGATTTTGTTTAAATTTGGTAAAATTTACATTGGGATTGAAAACTGCCTAGAATCGTGTGCATTAAAATATTATGTAAATGTATTTTACACGGCACCAAAATTAAGCATGATGCAGGCTTTAAATTTCTTATCTACAGCTGGCTGATAATTATCTTGTGGTCTTCTATTACATTACAACAAGTATATGCATTTTGACTGGCCATTAACGACAAACAAACTTTGGAAAACTAACATTTATTTTATTGAAAGGCACCTGTTGATTTTTCTATTGTGGCAATTAAAATACCAGATTTGAAATCACAAAAATATAGGCAGTGTTATCACTGAATAAAACTACTAGTAAAACAAGTCTCTTCATTCTTAAAAACAATGGAAAGAAAGTCCTCTGCCCTGAAGAATAAAAATATACTGATATGTGCTTACACATGGAATGAAAATATAACCCCCAAAATATTTAACCATTACAAGAAGACACCTAACTCAAAACCAAGTAGTGTATTCATTTGATATATTATTATACATACATTTCACAAGTTAAAACAGAATTTAGTTCTCTGTAATAGCCGTATTTGCATTTGTTTGAAATTCACATTTGAACATTTTCCTTGGTATAACATGAGGTAAAAAAAATTATGCAAATGAATCTAGAATCTCATGAAAATGTTTTCATCGAGAACATTCTGTGTTCTACCTCACTGAAATCATTGCTATGCGCAAGTAAAGTTATCTCAACCGTAGTATTTGTAGTCTACTTAACTTTACTTTATTAGAAAACGTCAATGTCAGACATCGTACAGAATCTTACCAAGTCAGGGCCTCAAACACTTGATCTTTTCACCACCAGTTCCCTCTTTTCATCACAAACTCAAAAATAGTCCTGTTTATATTCTGCACTTTCTTTGAGATGATTAAAACAAAGCAAATTTTTTTGAGTAAAAACTGAAAATTGACTAAAATTGTGTTGTTTGAGTTAATTTCCAGAAATATTGGAAAATATAAGAAAAAGTGCAGACAAATTTTGGGTGAGAAAGTCTGGTGATGAAAAGGTCAATATCTATTTGCTTATGAAATGCGAATAATAAAATTATCACAATACAAATCCCTCACCAAATACAGACACAAGTCAAAATAACAAATCACTAAATATTCATGCCCATAACTGTAGAAATAACAATAAATTCACCTGCAATTTGATAACCAGTTTTGTTTTAAAAGAGTTTTTAGAGTTTCAAATGATGAATACTCAATTTCTTGACTGATCAAAAATAGCGCTTGTTACAAACGAGATCACTAAGTACTAGTAGTATGTCACCGTATTAATTATTTTTGAAGACATTAGATTCAAACAAATAAGTAAACAAAAATTAAAATAGTGACAGACTTATTTAGAACATGTGGAATTAAAATAATTTCCCAGTGACTTTGATATTGTAAACTACATTTCATTTCAAAATATTACCGAAAATACAATAAAATAACGCACTTGCTATGCAAATTTGATCTGTTTCATGCATGTTATCAGGTTCTCTAATTACATCACTCATTTTAGTAGGAGCTCATGATCACGTCAATTTTGGAAACTTAGCAACAATAGGTCAGTGGGTTATAGCAAAAGTAATCACTAACCGAGTTATTGTTGCACTTATTTCGAAAACGTAATGCAACAACAAAAGTGAATGACACGTAAAGTGTCTTGCAGTAAATTTGTAAAACAGTCGGCCATGCAGTCTCACTCTGATATCATACAAGATAGCGCCCTCATGTGCGTTAATGCTGAAAAAAGATAGCGCCCTCAGAGTCAGATACTGTCGTATGATGAACATCCTCAAAATCAAATAGATAAACACAACTATCCCTTAAACTCCTTTAAATCCAACAAAATATATTAAAATGTCCTTAACTGAAATGATGTATAACTTGAAGAAAAATAATATTTACATTTGAAATTGAAATTAGAGTAGACAGACAAAGTAAACTTACAGTCTTTGGTTTGAGAGGACTAATCAGTTTTCAAAAAAAAATAAACATTTCTCTAAAATACAATTTTCATACACAAATATACATAAACTATTTTTACTTTTGTTAATACTGAAACCAGAACAGACCCCCACAATACAAGTACCCATTTTCTGCCGAATGCTAAATTTAGCTAAAACCCACTGGATGACAGATTATAAAGTTTTGTTTTTTTTCACCTTAAAATAAAACGTAAATATCCATGCAACTACAAGTAAAGCTAAAATTGATCCCAGTTTTCCAAAATATGCACAAAATCACTAGCGCCATGTATTTATGCAAACAATGGCAGTAGATAGTGGAACACTGTTTGGAAGCAAAAACAAGTCGTGTGGCTCTCTCACTTTCAACAAGATCTTTGCGGCCATTTACGAATAAGGTCTATAGCATTTGCAAAGTTCAAGCCAGGCCACTACTATGTTTTAGTTTAACTGTTAGTTGGAAAAAAAAAAATTCAAAAAAATCAATCCAGTATAGAAAACGAAATATTCACACAAATACGAAACTCAAGTTCAGAAAATATTTCTAAAAAAAGGTCTTGCAGAAAGTTACAGATTTGACCAACATAAGGACAAATGCAATAAGCAAAGAAAATTTGGTATAAATAAGAAAAAATGGATAATTGGAAGATACCATGATGTGTATTGCAGAAAGAAGTGGCTGCAACCAGAATTCCAGCAAGAATGTACATACCTATATCTATGTACTTTACTGATACCCAGTGGCTTAACATTTTGGTTTCTGGGCAAAACTACAATATAAACTTACGAAAACAAGAATATTTTGAAAAGATTACTGTACTGTACAGGACAAAAATGACAACAATTGCAAGTGCCCAGTCAGAGGCAGTGATTGACCATAGCACACAAATTAACCGTTCATTGGCAGTATTGTTTGAAACACTGGCATTTCATGACTTCTATGATTCATGTCTTTTGCTCTAATACCTAATCCAATCTACCTCTACCCCTACATTCTAAATATCATTAACATGGTCATTAAAAACTAATCACAGTAAAAACATTATAGTTGTAAATAAAACTAAAATTTTCATTTACTATTAAAAGAGAAAATAGAACTCTTAATGCTATTACAAATTTGTTTTCAAAATATCTTTGGAAGAAACAAAATGGCAAGATCTCAGAGAATTTCTACGAAATACCGGAATTATGTGGTTCCAGGTAAACAGAGGATGATGAAAATGTACAAATTCCACCTGACACTGTTAAGATAAACATATGTCAATGTGAATTTATTTTGACTCTTTGGACACCATTTTTTTCCACCAAAACATTTAGCAGTTTTCTTAAGTTTTGAATCAAATGGGCACAATCTCCCATACTGGGTACATACCCGGTATATTGATCATTTTTTTTTGGTCACAGTTAAAGGGTTAACATGATGTCAGTAACTGGAATGTTCAGTCTTGGTCTATACAATTTTTCTTCTCTTGTAAGAGTCAGCATAATGTCCACCTAAGCCTTGTGAATGCTGTCCAACATACCCATTATCTGGACTTGGTTCTGGTGACGGCAGAATATGCGCTGAACTACGTTTTTGTCCCGCAACAGGAGTAGTCAACTGAAACGAAATAAAACAAATACAAATCAGGTCAATGCACTAAAATAATTGTAGCGTTCACTTGTATGTTGTCTTTATCAATCCATTCTGGTGCTCATTCAAGCGACAAACAATAAAACGCAGGGTCGAATGCTGTTCCACAACACACCCAAGAGTGATTAGTAACCCCGGGGTGTAACGGTCGATCCTCAAGTTAATTTGAACGATGCTAGTCAATGAAGACACTAGATTTGTTTATGAATAAATAAGCATAAATTATCGCTCGGGAGAAGTTTTAACTTTTATCAGTTTATAAGCCCCCCCCCCCCCCATTTTTTCTTTGATTGCCGCTTTCCCAGAGGGGTTTATACTCGGACAACTACGGTAAATGTTTTACACTGAAATACAACTCAACATGTGTAATTTTATGTTGGCAATATGATAGCAATTGACTGAATATTACAGGAGTTATCGTGCCCCCTAGAAAAGTTTATGTCGCCACCGCTAGACGACAGACATTTTGCCACTACCGGTACTATGACTTTCCTTTCACTTTAATACAAGCCCAATAAATGGCTGCCAGTCAACTATTATAGATTAAATCACAGCAGACACAAAATGTGTAATGATATTCTAGAACACAAAACATTGGGTATGTGCATTATCCCAAAGTATCTATGTACTAAGTTTCAATGGAAGCTGATGAGTGATTGGAAGTGGAAAACATGCATACATACATACATACATACATACATA